ATATAAGCAGATGTTTTTTTTTTTTTTAATATACCTATATCTATACCTAAGTATATCTAAATCAAAATTTAAACTAGTAGTTTCTGTATTATAATTTTATAAAAATATAAAATTAGTGTATCATTAAATATAATATTTATTATTCTTAATAACTTAGATAATTTTTACAAGTTATAAAATGTTAATAGATTAGTTAAATTGATTACTTTAATTTTTAAATCATCATAATAGCCTTGTCTTCAAAATCAATTATCGTAGGTTTATTAACATAAGATATAAATACACAAAATTAAATAATTTAAAAACTTCCCTGTTCAAATTTCAAGTTAGATGCTTAAATATTAAAAAAAAAGCCATCTGTTCAAAAATTTACAGAACAAAAAGTGGTGCTCATTTAAAAAAAAAGAATTGATATCATTATTTGACATTCTTCGAATGGTATAAGTATAAATATCCTAGAAATTGAAAGTCGAAACTTAAAAAGACTTATTGTTTAAGAACAAATCGGGGTAAGTATGTATGGTGAATCACATATTTAAATATTTAATCATTTATTTCTATGGAGTATTAAAAATTAGTACTTTATATGATTCTCTTGTATAATTTTATGGTTCTTTCGTCTTCCCGTTGTATATTATTAATTATTATAAATAAAATATAAATATTCGTTAAATTAATATATCAGTTTTTTTTTTTAACTTTTCTAAAATAATACAAAATTATTTGAAAAGAATGTCAGTTTTTAATAGTTATTTGTAATAAATAATGATAGGCCAATCGGCAACCACTAAATTATTTTTATAATTTTATTCATTGATTGAAATTTGTATAGTAAATAATAATAATAATAAATTGCGTGGTTCTTAATAAATATGCCCTCAAAACCAACAATAAAAAAATATATAAAAATAAATATTTCTCTCATAATTATTATGGTAACCAATTTATTAAAAATATTTGTTTGTTTAAAAAATAAGTATTGTTATTAATACATAATAACTAGCTCGTAAACAACAATAACGTGCCTTCTATGATTTATACGAATTATTATTTTACGCAAAAAAGCTTATGGATATATTTAACTTTTTAGTGAATATTAACTTAAAATTATATTACTTTATAGATGGTACAAATACTATATTGTGTTAAATTACTTTATTTATACTGAATAAGATATATAAATATATTATCTAAAATTTATTAAATTTAAAAATTTCATACAGGTACTCATAAATAATAACTTACTAATGCAATAAAACAACATTATTGTTTAAAAATAAACTTATATAAAAATAGATAAATGATCATTGGTTAATAATAAATAGCAATATATTATTACCTATTCAACTAGCTATAAAAGTAAAAACTATAAAGTAGCTTAAAATAATTTTTTTATGCATTTTAATGAAATATTTTGTTTATTCTGTGTAAACCGTTTTGAATTGATTTAATACATATAGGTATTACAAACGGAAACTCTTAGTCCTATTATAGTTATATGCCTCAATATTTATGACGTGACGTGAATTTTTGTCGTGATTCGTTCACATTATAATATACTTTTATTCTCCAAGTCACGGAAATAATAACAGTTACTTTTCGATTAACATTGTGCGTATCTATGCGTTTTTTATGAATTGCCAATGATGTTATTTTAAATCATATCAGTCATATCACATTTAGTGATGCAATGTGTTTAGTTCGTTTCCATTATTAAACTTTAATCTAAACTAACAATAAAATATAATAATATAATATAAATAAATATGTAAGATATTTTTTTTGTTAATTGATTTATACACATAGTTAAGTATTAAGTTTAAAAAAATTGTCATCGCTGAGAGACTATTTTAATTAGCTAGCAATAGTATATTACACCTTTCAGAGAAGTTCTCTCTACAATAATTGTAGAAAAAAATAATTTACAGATTACTTACATATTTTTGTTTAAAAATTAAAAAATGTTTAAATCGTTTAATCTTAATAATGTTATATAAATATATAATGTATATAATATACATCAACACAATGATAGCAAAAATCAATTGCAGTAGAATTCAATCTTGAATTCATTGCTAAAGATAACAGTTTTATCATATTAATATATTTTGAATTTACCTGCCATTTCTTATCCCATGGCCGTCTTGTATTTGTCGCGTCCCACGCACGACTGTCGTGACTCGTGACCTCGCATGACAGGCAAAACGTCCTTAAAATGAAATGTGAATTACCTTTTGTTTTAAATCGAACTAAATTGTGTATTCGTATTCATTAATTAATCGGAATAGGTATATGGTTCATAAAAATATTACAATTTAGTATAACGTGTGTTTACAAGTATTACTCGATAGACAATAATACAGTTAACAATTAAGCCAGTTATCAATTTCTAAATCACCAAGGACTCTTAACAAATTATTAATAATGCATAAAACATAATATAGATGTGCGCAATATTATTTACAGTGGCAGATACTACTCTAACAAATTATTTTTTTATGTTATTTATATCATAACCATCGATTTTCTAACCTCAATAGTTAACAATTATAATATTATCCATATTACTTAATAATCATTATACTTGTACGGTAATTTTATTAAATTTTACCACATTAAATTTAATGTATTATCTAAAATATTTTGGAAATTATCTAGATTATAACTAGATATCTACACATTAGACATTTTACTCCATCGGTAGGTACCTAAAAGTCCTAAAACGCCAAGACATTTAACTTAGTTCATGAAAAATCATGTACCTATTGTATATGTATTGTGTACAACATATTAGTATTTAATTAATAGTAATAAATTAAAGCATGCGTTTCTTTACTAAAAAGCTTCATCATTTAAAATAATTATATACATTGATTTTAAAAAGCTTTTTAGTTCATATGAAAATTTGATTTATTGTTTTTATAACTTATACAATATTATATTATTTATAGACTGACCTGTCCTTTAGAAGTAGGTAAAAAACTAAAAAACTTAAAACTTAAAACTTAAATGTTAAATTAAATGACATATAAAACTATAGAAATTCATCATTAAATCCCACAACTCATTAAATTTGAATCTAGGACATTACCCCACTTCTATCACACCAGAAAAATAAAATACATGCATAAACATAATATACATTTAAATGCCTATTATTTATTTTATACTCATATTATAATTACTACGGTAACATCGATAATATAAATATAAAATTAAAATGATAAAAACTATTTATATTTTAATTTAAAATCTTTTTTTTTTTTATAAACAAGTAAAGTAATTTATTATTTCTACTCGATTGTGCGTTTTGACCCAAATCGTAAGTACTACGCATTCTATATTTATATGCTAAACGAAATCGGATTAAACGGCCTAAATGCGGCGATGGTAACGGCTAGATAATAATAATTGAAGAAAATACGATAAATTATAATATTATTATTGTCATTTATTTTATTTTTGCATTTCCGATTATTTATGTTTTATTTCTGATTTTATCTTTAAAACTTAGTTATAGTCAAATATTCGAATCTAAACGTAGCCGAGTGCGTCGTGCGTTATTGTATAATATAATATTTGCTGATTCAATGTAGACAGTTCGACACAAACCGGAACTTTATTTCATAATAAAGATAGTTAACTTATTAGCTATATTTGTACAATAAATTAAAATACTTATAACGTATACATATCAATATTAATAAATACAATTATGAGCATAGAGGTTGTATAATAATAATAATAATAATAAGACCTTTGTAGTGCCAAACGCCATTTCCTCCATCGACTTGTATTAAGGCGGATGTAACAAGTTATGATAAGTTGTCTGGGGCAGGTCAAAATAGGTCCAATCGGTGCGGGGATTCAAATTATTTATACGCATCGAAACAACACCACGGGACGCGATTTCGTCCGGATTCACAACTGATGTTGCACATTATGAACAAAACTGAAATTATCATCTAAGCAGTTTCATATAAAATATACATGCATTTCATCTGCCCTCAAATGCAAATTTTGAAATAATTTTTTCCAAAATAATCAAAACAAATTTGTGCGACTCAAGAGAAAACCACATTCGTATGTATTTTCTCTATTTCACAAACGTAGAACATTGTAAATTTGTTAAGGAGAATTAATTTTATTTTGTTAGCTTTAATATAAGAATGAAATGACTTATGAATTATGATCGAACTTCAATATGAGAACATTATCTGTGTGTCTCTCGTTTGTTATTTACTATATTTTAATTTTTAAGCGAGTTATGGATATGTTATACACTTACCTATACATTACAATATAAAAATACTCATAAATCGCTTAAAAATTATAATACGGTAAAAAACCAACAATAGATCACAGGAAACGTTTTAACTTCACCAATCAAATATTTGCTACGTTGTACATTTAAAAGATGAAAACAACTCGTCATGAGGATATGTGGTGTTCTCTTGAGAGTGGATATAAAAAATATAAAAAAAATCTTCGGTGGAGCTGAGGAAATATTCACTACTCTCTTCCTCCCGCTCCCTACACATTCTACGGGAAAACGTTAAATTTTCGAAAATATTTATTTCCCCTACATCAGTGCACCTTATTTTTGACCTACAATCTCGCAACACTATATTGTTTCTGGTATACGGCCGGCAAAAATCGGTTTACTTACACTTTTGCACACATTTCCTATCCCCTCTCTAGTAAAAAAAGAAAAATCATATTATTTTACAATAACACAGCATTATCCGGGACAACGTAATACATCGTACCCGCGAGGGCCGCCGGGCGGACGTCGTCGGTGCCAATTTAATAGAGAAACCATCGGGCCTGGGATTTCTCGGCGGACCCGCGACCGCGAGACCGGAACGCGCGTTTTTAACGGTTCCGGCAGCTCCGCCCGGCCAGCCAAGCGATACTTATTACTTATGCGCGCGCACACCACTCGATACCGCCGGAACCGCGAACAGGGCCCGTCGGTATCGGCAGCGTTCGCTGACGCCGTCGCCACACGTGTTGCCGACGCGGCGCATCGCGCACACGCGTACACCGCATTCGTTCGCTCCATCCGTTTCGTCCGTCGCAGGCGCCTCGCCGTCCGGTCCGCCAGCGCCGTTTGCGTGCGTAGTACTTTATGGGTATTATTTTGGGCGAAACGGTTTTTGTTTTCGGTTCGGTCTGACGATGTCCGTTCGGTTGACGATTTGCGTGTGAGACCTAGTACCTACAGCAATAATCGTCGTCGCCGGCAGACTCGTCCGCAGGATATCCCGGTGAGACACTGCCCAAATTATGGAACACGAGCTTGGTCGTTGAAGGTGAAGAATTTATTGGTTTTTCTTCCCTTTTTTTTTTTTTTTTTTGAATTTAAATTTACATATGCCGTTCCAATAATATTGTTTAGGCACCGCGGCAATAGCTGCAGTTATTACGTTCATTCGTGTTTCGTACTTATTTATAACATACCTACTATAGTACTAAACCATATTATCCGACTTCAAAAATAATAGGCATTGGTTTTTTTTATGACCCACATTTATATGTATTATCGTTTATCATACTCGAGTTGACGAACAAACGACAACGTTTACACGTATACCTTCTCTACTCACTTATATATTTTTAAGCGACCCATTTTACATTCTTCGTATTATATATCTTCTTGCGCTTACTTAAAATCACGTCATACTATAATTATACCTGCACTACGTTAATTACGACTAAATTTTAATTATCACTGTTGATTGGATTTTACAATAATTACTTTCGCACCAACACAATAGGTGTGCTACTGTGTAATAAATGGTATAAACTTAATACAACATTAAAAATGTATCCTTGTTCTATTTTAACTAAGTCATTAATTTATAAAAACTGTATGAACTACAATTATTGTTTAAAAGTATAACAAAATATTTTTCTATTAATGGTTACGCATTGCAGACGATTAGTTTGGTGTAAATTATAATTTACAAGAATATTCTTTGGATGCGATTTAATCTATGTATCCACTATCCGTACGCTGCGCCAAGTTGATTGTATTGATCTGTTTGCTACAATATGTGAGCTCGTTTTATGTCAACGTATTAACGTGCTGTCAGATTAGATTGCCGTCTTTTTAAGGATTTGAAAATATTATACTATGTATTTGAATCTAACTCTTTAATAATATCTACTATATTTGAAAAACTTCTCCAATTTCATAAATAAAAAATATAATATAATATCCTTATTATATTTAAAAATATATTATTTTAATTTAAAATAGATTTTTTCATTTTAGTGATAATAAATTAATAGTCTTATAAATAAATATGATATTAAAATTTAACAATAAATGTTTAAGTAGAATTTAATTCTATTATAACAAAGATAAAGTATAAGTAACTTAGTGCCAAATAAATAAAAAAATGATCAATTCTTTTTAAGTTTTTAGTTGTAAATTTTCTACAAACTTAATAATATTCTATTAAAAATTCAAATATTTTAATAATGGTTAAATAAAAAAAAAACAATTCTTTACGACAAAAATAAAATTGAGTTACTTTTATACATTTTTTTTTTTTTTTTTTTTTTTTGACAGTTTTAATCACTAACATTTTATTAAATTTAATGTTATCATGAAATAATTTTGCCAGTTACTATTATTACTAAGATTACTATTTTTATGTTTTTTTATCTAATTTAACTATGAGAATAAAGATTTTGCAATTTTATTTAAAAATTAAATAGATTGTTTAAAGTGTAAAATCATTTATGTTTTTTGTCTAAATTAATTTCTACAAAAAAATACTCGGGAATTATTTATAATAGTAAAAAGATAATAAGTATTTACCTATATTGTACAATTTACTTAGCTTTGAGTGTTTTCTTGAATTGTTGCCGTATCTATGTGTATTATTTTTTTATAGTCAAGTACATTGCATGTTTAACTAACATGTAAAATATTATTTTTTTTGTTTGTAAAAATATTCATTTTTCGTATTATGTCATTGATAAAAATCGATTTTACTTCATTAAAAAATATCTATTAAGAATAAATATTATTACTTTATTTCCTATTTTTACTTACTCTTTCTAGAAAATAATATTTTAGTTTTTAACATATACATTAATATAAGTACCTATTATTTTTTAAATCTATTTTTAATTAAATCATACCGACTACTGCCATTATGTTTTGATTTTGAACCTGTCAAACTGTTGACTTTTAATTGAATCGCTACGATAAATTGATATAATATACATACCAAATAATAAGTAGGTACCTATACTGTTAACATGCAAACAAACATGATTAATGAAGATAAAAGAGTCAGAGATATATATATAACTGAATAAAACATTAATATATACTATTTATTACAATATATACAAAAGATGTTAAATTTACTCTACCCACATCAAAATCATATCTTTATAGATCTGTAGTACACACTTAAATACTTTTCCTAAGTTTGATGTTTGTCATAAAATATAGTGCTGTGTCCAAGGTTATACTAAATATTATTATAATTTTAATCTTGTTTTATTCTGTCAAATGAATTAATTACTTATTCCATAGATTTAAATCTAATACCTAAATATTATAAACTGTATTAAAAAAATGAATAATTTTTCGATTTGATTAAAGTAATAATTGTGTCCTATAGACTATATTCATCAAATTTTGACAGTCGTTTTCTACAAACCACTCAACCAAAATTGGATAAGGTTTGAATAGTTTATTCATTAAGCAAAATGCCTAACACTATATTTCAAGTTTTCCTTTTTTCTTTTAGTTTTAAATAGTAAGGTTTATATTATGTAAAAATTAATTAGTATCGATGATTTCGATTACATCTTGACAAGTGATCTAGAAAAAGTTTCAGCCTTCAAATTGTTCTTGATTTCGAATCGTTTTGTAAAAGTAACGGGATATAACTACAAATAAAAATAATATTTTTAAGTTATTTACTTAGTTCTTTTAATTTACAATAAATATGAATTCTTGCATATATACCCTATTCCTCATTAAACTTAATTATATTTTCATTGCATTTTTTATTACAGTTTTAAATATTAAATAGGTATGTCGATTAGATTACTTAAGACAGTAACACTAACTCTTCAAGATTTTTAATTACCTAATATAATGATATAACATAATATTGATTTCTTTTTAATTTTCAACATATTAATATTTTTACTATTAGCCAAAAAAATTATTCAGTAAAGAAACACACCTCTAGACTTGACAGTCTTAAATCAGTCACTTTGCCTTCATTGGCCTATTTATGCTACTACAGATAACTGATAACAGTATAATATAGTAACTTTGCTAAAATATTATATCCGTAGAACGTACATGATTTTTATTTTTTACAACTATTATTTTTCCACCAAAGATTTTCACCGTCACGCATCGCCGTGCATCTGTCCGAGTGTCAGCCAGCCGGTCATTTCACCGTTGATCGAACTCCGAAACGGTTATTCGCGCATAGGTTTCGTTATTATAAATTATAATATGATTTCCCTACAAGTTATAACAAATTACAATATAACAATATATTTATATACTTATTGCAAATTAATAAATAATATACTGTTATACAGTATGCCGTATACACTACTGCATTATTTTCATTTAATATAATATATATGTTTGAATACCGATATGTGTTCTGTTTTATTATTATTAGAATTACATGATTCCAGAAGATCAACAATAATATGTCATCCATTGGATCTGAAGACCGACCGTTCATATTCCGAGTCAACGAAAACGGCACTGGCCCAGTTCTGCTCATACAGGTAAAATTCGGTAGCGTTTATTACATACTATCTATCCTTTGGGAACCCCTACTTTTTTAAAAATATTTTTCAGTCGGTTGGCCATTTTATAGGAAATCCATAGGGCGTTGGCGTTTGGAAGTGTTATTTTTTCCACGCTCCACTAACCTCGGTGTTGCCCCAAAAAACAATAAATTAACTAAATAGGTACCTACTTGAAATTTAGCGCACTAAAACTTCTATCTCGATAATACATCTATTATACGTTGTCATTGAATTTTTAACAAATGCTTTATTCTTTAATTTAGTTCTAATATTTTTCTGAAGAAAATTCAAACGATATATTTGCTTGTAGGTTTCTTTCTCTTATTAAATGTCACGAGCTTAATTACATTGTAATAGCAATTACTATATTTGCAAGTTATAACTACTTCAGTAGAAAAATAATTAATGGAACTTATTGGATTGTTGTTTACGAACGGCATGCACATTGTTCCCTACATTTGGTTAACATTTCTGTGGAATAAACCTTGACCGGCGTAATTTGTCATTTAAAAAATTTGTAAAAGGCTTATTCATTATATAACATTTGGTTTCGTATTTTCGTATGAAGCTACAACAGAGAATTAATATGAAAAAACAAAGCCTATATCTAACTGTTAAATCAACTTCAATAAATGGAAATTTATCCTTGGTATAAGATACGAATGTGGCTTTGAATAATAAATCGTCGATTGGACTAAAACAATATCTTTTTGTACATTTAAACTACGTATACACAAGCAAGGATAAAAAAACTTAATAAAAAACATATTTTTTTTAAACTAAATTAAGATCGACCACGTGTATGGTTATATACTATAAATAGAAAAATTGTAATCATCGAGCAAAAAAATAAAAATATACAAGCCACATAATACACATTTAGTTTATTAAGTAGCATTGCGTCTTGTATTTTTCATTTCTAAATTATTTTCAACGCATATTTAGTACCTATTCATATATTTTTACATTTTTACTTTGTACATTTCAATTAATTGTATTGTTTTTATAGTTGAAAAATTCAAATATTAAATTTAGCACCTTAGCACAGTAACTAAAAATAGTATAATATGTATTAAATTATATTAACAAATACAAAAGTTAAGAACAATTACCTAATACATTTTTGAATATTAAGCAGTATAATAAAAACTATGTGCAATAAAATAATATAATGGATTATCATTAAAAATCAGTTTAATGAAAAGTAATTTTGTATTTTCTGTATAATTTAGTGATTTTTGAAACATATTTTAAGCCTATTATATAATTAACTTAATTTATGCTTCTATTATACTAACTATATACTTATAAATTATTTGATGGAAACTGACATATATTATATTATAACGGAAAATGTTAAATTAGAATTTAATATATAATTTTGTATATAAATGTATTAGATAGTTAACTTAATTATTATTTATAAAGTATATATATTTATAAAAAAAAAAATTAATAATTATACTCATAAATATTAAAATATATCATATATTGTGCACTTATTATACTTCTATTGTAGTTATATTCCTGTATAAGCTATAGAATTTTTAAAATCAAACCATCTATCACAACATAATTTACCTTATTTTTTTTAAATGGTACATATTCTGTAATTATTATGTGTAAAACATATTCCCTACTAGCTAAATTCAAATTAATTTAAAATTAGTTTGCAATTTAAATCCTATAAGTTTATAATAATATTCCAATGATAATATACAACACAAATGCATAATCGTAATAAGTAAAAATCGTGTTACAATTTATTTTAAAGTTAAAAGTTAAATATATAATTCAAAATTATTGATTATCGATTTGTTTGATTTGAAATTTTACGAAATGTTAAAGATTCTCATAATAGTTTATAATATTATTATAATTTATCATTGATTAAAAGTTCTATTTTTGTATAATTATTATAATCAATAGTGTATTATCAATTTGAAACTTGTACTTATGCAGTATAAAATATAGGTAATTATATATAATTTTAAATGTTTCTTTTATTTTAGTGTGTTTATTGTATACAGCGGCTATCGTTTTTAAAACCTATTACTCATTTACTATAGTTAAATATTTATATTTGTACAATCATAATTAATTGATTTTCACGTTTAACAAAGCCTGACCGTGCAGTATTGTCTTTACTGTTAAATTCTACGTACAAAATGTCACATTTTTATAAAACAAGTGTAAATAAAATTTAAATACAAAATTATAAACACACACATATAATTTATAAATAATTAATATCACTAGAGCCACTAGCTAACTAACAGTACAGGATACACTTGTAAAGACGCGTTAACTTGTCCACATTTTTTTATTTAAGAATATATTAATTTTTTTATTATAACATTGCACATTGCATATTTTATATAATAATATATAATTAATAAAAGGTGTGGTCTAATTAGTTCACTGTTCAATAAGTCAGTTAAGTATTAAAAGTGTATATAATATGTATTTACTTAATTCATTTATTTACTTAAAATCCTGAGTCATATATATAATAAGGCTACATTTAGATACGATTGATGCGTGGGCTGGCACAAGGCACCAAATCAGAGGGCGCGTAAGAGATGTCAAATTAAAATTTGATCAGAAGGAGGAGTGCTAAAATAATATTTTTCCAATAAGTACTGAAAAAGTAAAACCGGCTCTGATATAAATTATAGTAATGATACCGAAAGTTTGCTTGCTTTATATTTTTTCTACGATGATGTTTTAATTCCAACGACAATGAATGGATTTCCCCCCTATCACTGCTACTACGTGTTTATACGACTAGCAAAAAACACCGATTGTTGACGTCACTGCTATTATTATTAATATTATTTATAGGTATTTCTAGCTATGTATTATTATAACGATGATGAGGTAATGCACTACAGTCTAAACATTTCAATTAGTGTGTATTATTATGTAAAAGTTAGCAGGAGGGTGTTTGCGTGTATGATATATACGCACCGCAGTGTTTATTTTCTGTCGGTCGGAAGTCGATTGGGTCTAATTGAGTGGTGGTGGAGGTAGTGGTGATAGTAGTAGTTACTGGTTACACGCCACAACGTGGGGAATGCGAAAACACTGCACAGGACGTGCAATAAATAATCAGATTATACTCAATTATCCTGTATAATATTTTTTTACAATTTTTTTTCATTGTATTTATTGTTATATTTTTATTTTGCTTTGTCACTCACAGGTGTGCCAAGAACGTGGCTGGAAGGAATACGAAGGAACTAAGAGCGGCGACTCCGCGTGGTCGGTGCCGGCGGACGAGTATTGGAACCTGTGGTGGAAATCGACCGGATTCTCGTTGTCACACTATAAACAGCAGAAAATATGGCAGGTATGTTCAGAATAATATGATATAAAAAGTGTGTGTTTTTATAAATTAATTATTTCTTATATGGTGTGTGTGAACGTTATTCGCTGCCACACATTGTCCGCAAAGATCACGTAAGTTGGCCTGATTCTGAGTGAACATCAGAACCTATATTTATATATTTATTTTAACGCATCGATTGAACGCAGATGTCTTTGACGATTCTGCGCCAAAAACTAAACGATGCGGGTTCTGTTCATATTCAAATTACATATACAAATAAACATATCATAAACATACTACATAATACATTGGTACATGATAAATACATAATCTTTGTATATTTATTATATAAGCAAATTAAAAACATTAAAATAAGATATATTATATATTATATTATTATACATATATAATTTGACACTATAATTAAGTTGTATAAACATACTAATTAATAGTATTTAATTCGATCATTATAAGACGTTCACGTTGTCCGTCATGAATCAGACGTTATTTTACAATAATAATTGTTAAATAAATTGCCTCGTCAATCAAATACAGTAAATGTTATTATTCATACTGCTCAAAAATGCCAGGCGATGTGTACATAGTGTCCAGATTTTTTAATTTGCTTGTAATGTAATCCTATATATATTAACAGTCCAATTTACATTAATCTTCATTCTTCCTTGACGATAGTTAATTGACATACCTAATATCATTAAACGGCATGATCGTAGGATTTTTTTTTCTCCGAAATTCTTAGTTGTAAACTAAATTTGGTGTTTTATATTGCGCTTATATTGTGTGTATAATTAACTATGTAATAATGTCGTTCGTACAAAAAAAAAAAAAAATGTAAAACCTTATTTGTGCATCGTGATCGCGTAATTATATGGTATATTAATGTATTAATATCGCTGTAGCGATAATAATTTTAAACAATTGTTCATCACATTTATGCGCGTATTCTAAAAAAAAAATAAAATATTCCTATTTCTAAGTTATTCAATTATACCTAAATGTACCCTATACTAATAATTATAATTAGGTTAATTTTTTTTTGATATAAATTATAAAGAACATAGCTAGATATTATACATATCGTATATTCGCTATTTTTTTTTCTTTATTATTTAACTCGTCACAACTTTCAGTTTAACGAAAAAATTTGTATTTGTATGCAAACGTGGATTTTGGGGGAGGGGTCTAAAAAATTTCCCCCCTCCTTGTAAATGTTTTATATTTAGTATTTATTTATTTAATAAATAATTCATATATCTTTAAATTCATAAATTTTTAGTATAAATAAAATTGATTAAATTATTATGAAATCTTATCTTTAATATTATCTGTAATCTATTAAATTGTATACTAAAGTCTTAAAGTATTACCTTGTATTTTTTTTTTTAAATGTAGCCCCTTCCACTATTTCAGATACCTAGACCTTGCCTACTATTCGATATAAACACATCTCTACCTTATATTATAAACGATGTATATATTTTTGTTTGTATGAAGTGAAAGTATGATAAAAATAAAAAATAATATTTAGTATTTTAAAAAATCAAATTCTAGTATTACTATAGTATAATTCTAGTACGCATGTATAATGTAATATTGTAATTAATATAATATTTTTTCTTGTTCAAAAGAATTTACAAAAAGTTTTCTTAAAATTCAGAGGTAAATAATTGTATTAAATCATTATTAAAAAAAATTTATTAATAATAGTATATTATATTCAATACACTTTTAAATATCGCGTATATTTTATTTTCATTGAATTCAACAATCTATAAATATTTCAAAAGTTTGAATATACGAGAATAAAAAATATGCATAGTTATTATAAACATATTGCAGCTTACACTTAGAATTCAATTTCATAATAATCGATTTAAATTTATGTATGATAATATATGTACATTTATAATTGTTTTCACTTAGGCTACAATTATAGATAACGGTTACAATAGATTCAGCATGAATAAAATTATTATTTTAAACTAAACGCAATACTTGAATGTTAATGTACGTATTCGTAATAACTAATGGTGTATTTTTTTCTTATGCTGTCTATTAGTTCAACAATCATATACCCAGTGGATCAGCATTATGTCGAAAAGACAACTTGTGGCGGTATCTAAAATGTATGAAGAATGTATTCGGCACGTCACTATTTGGGTTCAGGTAATAAGCATTTAAATAGCTTATTTTTTATAAAAAAATATTGAAATGTTTTGTATGAGGCAAAAGTACAAGCAACAATAATAAAAAAGAATAAAAACTAAGAACATAATAGTATATAATAATATAATATAGGTACAATATGGTAGGTTAAGTAGGTGGTAGGTAGTAAGTATGAGATACAATTATTGTATGCACGCAAGTGTTTAAATTGCATATGAGATATGCCTTGTGTTTTGAAAAATAAAATAATAAAGTTATATTATGTTTTTATATGGGGTGGTACGATATTAAACATATAAATAAACACTATATCGTTTAATACACAATGGGTTTTTAGTCTTTACTATGTAAAAAGTCATAAGTTCTTTTATGAGGCTTTATTCTGGCTTTATAAATTTATTTATTTTATTTTTTAAAAGACACAAATTAATGATTTATTATTTAAAATATTTATTTTTTTATAATCAACCTGATGATTAAATTATGTAAACGGTTTTTCAACGGTGCTTTTTTGGTGGTACTTCATCTTAGTATAATATTACTTTATTCATAATTTTAAATGAGATAAATGATAGATAAACACAATATCATTTAACTACGTTATTAAAATAAATTATTTTATTATAATATAATATAGTTAATAATCTTATTATGCATTAATAATTCACTCGCGAACAATTTATTTATTTATTTAAAAATAATAAAAGAAATAGATCTTTAACTATTTCTTCTGTAAATAATATTATAATTATGCGGTTATACTTAAGTTAAGAAAATATAAAACTTATTATAGCTATAAAAATGTATGTACCTGGGTAAATAAACTGCAATAGATTTATATAAAATATTAACATACTGCATTCTACAAACTGTATGGCGTATGCAGCATACAATACCATAGTAGTTACTCGAGAGTATTAATATGCAAGCACTTTTGTAATACGTCGTGACTAAAAGCTACTGACGTGCAAAGTTTCCATAAACAAATTAAGTGGGTCATTATATTATAATATTAATGTCCAATTATACACTAGGTACATTATTGAGTATTGTGAACTGAATGTTTTCTGAATGTACCTATGTGTTTATATTTAAATATGTTTTAAAATTGAATCATAATCATCACTTATTAAATTAGAGAATTTTCAATTGAGGATCATTTAGATATTTAGTGTATGTAGGTATATAGAAGTCCACAGCTAATTATCAAGTATAATTTTATTTAATTAGATATTATGTATTCATATTGGTTATAAGCATTTCTGAGAGATCTAACAAATAAAAGAAAACACCGTTACAGTAGATACAATAATAATATATTAGTAAATCATAGCAATAATGTTTTGTTTTTGGTATCCATTGGTTTCACTGGTAACATAGTCATTAACTACCTAATATATGTAAAGGTGAGGGTGGTTTCTTCAATGAGAAAATTTACCCAGATAGGGGTGAGTATTATCATCCCCTACATGTTACACACGCGATCTGTATTCAGGTGTTTGTTTATATATTTCTTCATACACAACATATATAATATTATATATAATACACGTTATTTTTTAGACCTCTGTACACAGCACAATAGTACAATCTTATTTTTATGTGACATGTTAAACGGTCATAAAACTTACGACTGGTTGTTACCATCACAAAGGGTTAGAAAGTCGCTGGCCCCTTGATAATATATTTTTATCTAAATTGTGCTATCAGGGAGGAAAACTAAAAGCTATTTACGGACTATAGTGTAATGCGTATTTTTCTTATGTTATGTTGTCACATCACGAAAACCGTCCTGTATTTAAATAATTTTTTATTTATAATAATTTTTTTTTTCTTGAGTCAATATACTATTTAAATACTATTCATTTTTTTTTTTTTTTTGATTTTGCTCCTTTCATGAACTATCAGCCCAGACTCCTACAATCTACCACTAGAATATACAAAGTTAGCTGCTGAATGTAGTCACGACACCGACGTAGGTGAAAAGTCAATTTGGATATGCAAACCTGTTGGCCAAAGTCAAGGAAAAGGAATATCTTTGATTTCGGTAAGCGTTGTATTATGTGTATAATAAAAATATATTTATTCTAGAAAAAAAAATGAGCTGTATGGCTAAAGTATTAATAATACAAGTACTCATTACATATAACGTATTGTAATCCCTGTCATTGTAAAAATAAAATTTATAGTTTTGAAGATTATTTTAGATAAACATAATGGATATTCTTTTATATTGTATAGTAATAGTACGTATATATTGTATACAATACAATAGATTATAATATATAGTATAAAATATACTATTTTTGATTTATGAAGATACTACCAATAATGCATTAATAATTTATATTGAAAAGTTGATACAAAAATGACTTATTCCGTATCCATAAAATATAATAATATGAAAATTAAGCAACAAGATCAAAATAATATCATGGATAACACAACAAACAATATAATATAATTGTTTAACGTTGATTTGTAGTACTTCCACTTTTTAATAGTATACGAAATATTATAATATTAATATGTTCACAGCAAATTGGTGAACTCGTTTATGACACCAACATCGTGGTCCAGAGGTACGTGAAGAATCCTATGCTCATCGGTGGATACAAGTACGATTTGCGGCTATATGTTCTAGTGCCGTCTTTCCATCCACTCACCATATACATCTACAGGGAGGGGCTAACCCGATTCAGTACTGACAAGTATTCACTGAATAATCTCGATAACCACTTTGCGCACCTGACTAATAGTTCGATCAACAAGCTAGGACCAAACTATTTGGAAACCAAAGAAAAAATTGGACTCGGTACTTAATTATTACACTAAAAATTGGAGTTAATTTATATATTTTAGCGGAGAGTTGAAGCATGCATTTTTCTGAAACAATTAGTTATAATTTAAATTTTAATATAACGCTTCAATCAAGAAAAAACAGCCACTTCTAACGCAGTTATTTTTTTAGTTCATATCATTATAATATAACACACGTTTTTCGTTTGTGCAGGATGCAAATGGACGTTCCAACAGCTCCGACAACACATACGCCAAGCCGGAGTCAATGATTGGCTATTGTGGCAAAAGATATCAGTTCTCGTTAGCCTCACGTTGGCCAGCCAATGTACAAGCATACCAAGCACGTCAAATTGTTTCGAGTTATACGGTTTTGACATATTGGTCGATTCTGATCTAAAGCCTTGGCTTCTAGAGGTATGTTAACCATGTTGAAATATACCTACTTAGTATTAATAATGGGTTATTCAAACACTTCAAATTTTAAGCACCTCAAATAGTTTAAAACACGAGAAATCGAATTTGAACATCTCGAATAATTCAATTTGAATAGGTAATCAAATTCAAAATGTTCGAGAATAACAGCAGATTAATTTAAAGTTTTTATTTTTTAAATGTTAACATTATTTTAGTACTATTATACTTAAAATATGGTTAATTAATTAAAAGTCCAAAAGTTCGAAAAAAATTCAAGTTCAAGGTCTATAAAAAACTTAAGTTTGACCCGCATCCTTCGTTAATATTATTTCATCATTGTTCACTTTAACTATGAAACAAAAAAATATATCTGCATATATATATATATATATATAATCCTGTAAGAATATAAGTCAATCATAAGTAATAACATTGAGTTTAGACAATCATGTCGGGTAAACTTTTTATTAAAAAACGCATGTTACAGGTGAACCTCAGTCCTGCTCTGGGTAACGATTGCGACGTGGACAATCGTGTGAAAAAGCCGTTGCTGCACGACATGTTCGATCTACTCGGGCTGCCGATGTGCAACACCGGACTGTCACTGTTCCGGATGGCGTGCAGGTCGGCGTCTGGGCCACGGTTCGGCGATGGACGGCCGACAGCGTTGGCCGCCGCGGCCACGGAAAAGTGGAAGTCGAAACGCAAGACGAACAATAACAACAACAACAGCGCCGCCGCCAACAACAACAGCAACAACAACAACCACGTCAACAACATCAACGCCGCGAAGAAGGACGGTGCGGCGGCGGCGATGACGTCGACCACACAGACGCAATCGTCTGCACGGCAGTCGACACTGTACGGCCCGGGCAAGCAGCGCGGCGCGACCACGGCCCAAGCGGCGGAGGCCGCCGACCTTTGCAACTCGCCTTTTTCGTCGCCGATTTGGGGCAACGGCCTAGACTGGAGCAGGCCCGTCGACTCGGAGGGCGACTGGGTCCGGGTTTTCCCGTTCGTGCCGTCCCCGCGACAGTTATCGCGGACCGGCATCCGGCCGCCGCCGCCGCCGCCACAACAGCAACAGTTCGCCCGCCGGTCGGCGTCGTCGCCGCCGTCCGACACGAGCTCGGCTCGGGCCGCCATCAAAACGATTCGAGAGTACTTGAAATGCTGCAAGAAGGTGGCCAGGTCGTGCGACGGCCTGTCGCCCGTGCCGGACGAAGAGCTCAACGATCAGCTCAGAGATCTGTTCCCGGCCGCGACCAAGACGTGGTTGCCGCCCCTCTGAAAGACTTTGTATAATTATATTTCCACCATAATTCGCACACACTACGCCAACCCTTACCTACTTAAAATTTATGTAATTAATATGATATCATTGATATCTTATGTTAAAATATCGATTGTTATTGCCTCGTTGCGTATACGTATTATAATATCGTTGTTTATTTTATAATATTATTGTTAATATATCGATAATATATATTTTTCTATGATATTAATTATCGACGAATACGGTTTTTTCGAATTATTATCAACTATTATGTTAACAATGTAGCTTTAAGTAGGTAAAAAATTATTTTAATATGTTTCTTATTTTTGTTTTTTTGTTTTTGTACTCTTCTCGCCCTTTCCAAATTCAATTATATTATATAGAAAATATTTAAAACTTAATACCTTATGAATTTATGATGCATAATAAAAATGTGTTCTGCGAACATAAACGTCGTTCTTATGTCATTTTCCGTAATGGATGATTAATAATATTTTAATAATAATATGTATTCCAGGTGTTTCGCTGCAGATGACATATTTGCCAACATACTGTACCTGTAATATATTATAATGTATAATATAATATGACATGTAACGTATGTCACTTAATCGTGATTAATTCTATTTGATTCGATTAGTATTATACGTATAATATATTTGTTTCGATGCTACATATAATAAATATTATTTAAAAATAATTTGTAACATTAATTATTTACGATGTATTATATTATCATTGGTTCGATTTACTATACATATATATACGAGTCGGAAATATTATATTATATAGAAGTGCATAAACTACTATGTGTTTTCAGTTTTTGTTGTTGTTTTTAAATACACTATTATTTTTAAGAACATCTTGCTCTATAATAAATATTAATTGCTAATTTAATGTTGTAGAGTGAAGATTACTCCTAAAACGGCTTAAGTTTATACAACGAAGCTACTTATATAGTTTCTACTCTGAATTCGCTCGTATAATATTACCCGCGTGTATGTACATAAAAATGAAAGTTATTTTTAAAGAACAGTTGTTATCTAATGTTACATAAAAACTCTGAAGTTCAAAAGATTAACAAAACATTTTTAATTTTCAATTCAAACTAAAGTTTTTAGTACGTACCTGTGCATCGTATCTTAAATATTTTCAATTTTTTAGTTTTATATTAGAAGACCTACAATAACTACAATATGCATAATGGACGGTACTCGAATACAGTATACCTATTATAGTCATATCAAATTTACTATTTAAAGCGTATCATATAACTGTTAACTTTTTTTTCAGTACAATCCTTCAAAGTTAATTGACAACAGGAATACTTCAAAAAAATATTCAGAAATAATTAACTCACCCAAGTGGCTTTAAACCAACCCAAGTAATAATATGTAGTCAATAATACTTGTTATTAATTCATGCCTACGATTTTGTGCATAAACTCTATTTATACTACATCACAATAAATAAAATAAAACGCTTTTTTTCAATGTAAGTCAATATTGTTTATTTTAAAACAACAAATATACATGTTGAAATGAAGTATAAACAAAAACATGAATTAAATGAGCGAGGTATTATCCGTCTACAATAAAATACGTAGACTACACCTATTAAATATCAGTATAACAAAATTACATTATTTTGTATGACTACAAAAATACATTTATGAATACACAAAAATAACAAACTTTCACTTTAAACAATAATTAAAATAAAAAAATAAAGAGTTCAAAACTAAAGTATCACTTTCGTTTTGCGTGAGTTAAATAGTTCTGGTAAAAATAATTTGGCACTGTAATAGAATAAGCCTACTCGAGGTTATAAATAATAGTAAGCTCGGTCCCGATTTTGATTACTTACTGCATTTAGTTTAGTTTATGAATAAACATCAAATAATCATTACATGGTTAGTCATACAAAGTTGACAGTACAAAATAATTTTTCTCGTCACAAACATGTTGTTTTTCAAAATAAATCATACATACCTAGTTATAATATAAAAGTATTATTATGTTAAAGTTATAATATAGTATATGTTAAAGTTATAATATAGTATTATGTCATTTCAATATAGTGTCCCAGAACCGTATCTTTTAGATATTATATTTTCGTTACTAACTATGATGAATACGATATAATATATACTAAAGAAATGATATTTAAATTAAACTAGATTATAAATGCAATAGTACCTATGTAAAGTAAATCATTAATTTCATTGAGTGTTAGAGTGAAATTATATCAAACAATCAGTCCTATCCTATAATATGTATATAACTTATCCTGGTCTACCTATCTCTAAAATCTTTCTTATAGATATTAGCATGTTGTAGATATACTGCGTATATGTAGTTGAATAGGTAAAATAATACTAAGTCGTATACATATGTACTATCTAAAAATGTGTAAAGTCATTACGAATATAGTAAAAAATGTACTAAATAATCATTATTGAATCACAGCTTGTTACATGTTAAAATACAGAAATGTAATAGGTTGAGAAATGAATGTAATAAAGTTAAATAATAAATGCTATATTGAGAGATTAAATATGAATTCGTAGTGAGTAACGTAATAGGCTAAATGTTTCTTTTCTATGACTAACAGATGTCCCAAATACATAAAATTCGAATATAGATTTTTTTTTCTAGACAATTCTATGAAAAACATAATAAACGAGTAAAAAACCACATAAAATTAATTTAGTAATAAAAATATACAATAAATATAATTCGTAGTAAGAAATTACCGGTACTTTTCCTAGCGAGCATTACTCGGTTTTAAATAATCGCACTTTAACTTTTAACATCTATTGTAGTTTACACCAAGTCGCATAAAACATTTATTGATTTAATCGTTTACTAACACATATTAATGGGCCACCGATCGTGGAACACTAAACAATGTTTAAGCGACCGTCATGTGCGTTAGTCTCCGGCGTATCGCATAGGACTTCAGTGCGATATGCTTGCAGGCCGTCTATGTTCGAGCACCTTTCTGAGCTGTTTGCGAGTGTTGCAGGCCACGGTCAGCGAACAAGACGCCGCTGCGGCCGGATGTCCGGCGATTGTCGTGGCGGCAGTGGCAGTAGAAATTGCGGCCGAACCGGTGCAGCTACTGCCCGGCGAAAAAGTGGACTCGTGCACCTGCTGTTGCGGGAGGCTGGGCGCCGGTACCGGAAACGTGGGCTCGAACACTTCCAGCTGCGGGCTTACCATGAGTGAAGCAACCGAACTGTCGAGACACTGATTCGCGTCGCCGGCCAAGCTGAGTATGAGTTCCTCGACGCTGAACTCTTCGGCCACCTGCAGCGGTTCGTCCGCGGCGACTCCTTGGTGCGGTTCGCACACCGCGAAATCCGTGTCCGGCTTGGACACTAAGATGTCATCGAACGGTATGAGATCGACGGCCGTCCCCACTGGTTCGGCGTCTGACTGCTCGACGGCCGTCACTGTCTGCCGGACGGGCTCGTCGACGAACTGCAGTTCCTGCACCGTTTCCGTAGCTATGGACATGACTGGCGGCTGGCTCGAGTCGTCCTCCGTCACCGTCTCGTAACTGGCGCCGTTGATCATCGGCATCATTAGTAGGCTGGACATCAACTCGCCGTTGTCCATCACGCACAGGCTGATCGTACCATTGGCGTCCTGACCAATCTTCTGCACGTCGACATTGCATTCCACCGACAGCTTTACCGGCATCCCGTCGTCCGGCTCGGCCAGGATCATCTTTTGAACAGTGGCCGTGCTCGAATCCGGGCCCGCTCCCGTGAACGTCCGTATCGCAATGCCTGAAAGGTATGCATCCACCTCCACCTCAGCCGTTTCGCATTGTTTTAGGGCTTCGATGTTAGCCTTTGACAGCGGTATAACTAGTTGACCTGCGAACAACAATCGCATCAATAATATTAAATCTTGACTCGTTAATATAGTGTATAATATTCTAAACAGTTAGGCAACTAGGGCTTTTTAAGGGAGGAAAAGGGAGGGGTGATAACCCAATGCTCTGAAAATGTGAAATTTAAGTTCTACTCAACACGCATATTTGCATAATTTATATTATAATTATACAATACATTATTCAAACTTGTAAGTTGTAACCCCGACTTGGTTATGATGTCATTAAATTTACGTTCATGTAGGACGAATACACTACCACCTAGATTTTACTCATAAGCTCAAACACCTGTTGAGATAAGATTTTTATCTCACCCCACTCCAGTCTCTCACTCACTCATTCATATAAAAATCAATCCTAGTTGTGCCATTGATTTTAAACAATCGAAAAGCGCGTACTTTGGTATTTTAAGAATTCCGAAGTCGTGCTGTTTGTTTCACTGTCGAAATGCTGAAGCAAATCGTCGGCGAAATCTGATAAAGTCTCTGAATCGTCCCAAATATCATGACTTCGCTGGTGCGTTTTGAGACTAGCCTTTCCTGGGAACGACTTGTTGCATTTTGGTCGGTCGCACGTATACAGTTTGTCAGCCGAATGCGTCCGCTTGTGTGTTTTTAGATGATGGCTGGCCGTAAACGCTCGACCGCAACCTTCTTCTGCGCATCTGAAAATAATGATAATAACCGGATACGTGTTATAAAACAAATAAAATGCTCATAATTTGTTCAAGATTGCTGTTAATAGCTTTCTACATATGTTTTAATTATTAAAATATTATAGTAGGTAATATCGTGTAAACTTATATAGTAAAAACTCTTTTCTGATAATAATAATAATCCTATGTTGTTGACACTTGACAAGATGTCAAAATCAACGTGGTAATTGCTTATTAATTGATAATATTGTATATTACTTGTACGGTCGTTCTTGCGTGTGTGTTCTATAATGCTTCTTTAAATCACTAAAAGTCGTAAAACACTTGCCACAGCCTGCTTGTATACAGTCGAAAGTATCACCAGTGTGCAAACGTTGATGAGCTCGTAGCCTGTACTACAAATAACCGTAGGTCCGTTATTTTTCTTAAAGATTAGTGAAATAACTTGAATAAGATAATCGAAATCTTTACCTGTAAACGGTGTTAAAAGCTTTTTGACATTCCTCCTTGGTACAGACAAATGGTTTTTGTTTCGTATGCACACGTTCATGAATTTTCAAACTATACGACGTCAAAAACGGTTTACCGCAGTCAATTATATTACACTTGAACCGGTATTCACCTAATATTAAATAATTAATCAGTTCATATTGTAATAAATTAACGTATAAAATAAAATTAATTAGACATTTAAACCTTAATAATACATTGTTTAGAAAAAATCATTCTGATGATTGGGCTTATTTTATCTAAATATGGTTAATGTCTTCAACATTCATTCACAATACTTTTTAATTTGATTAATACTAAGTATAACTACCAATCGGAATTTAATTAATAGTTTATAACGGTACTGCATAATCACATAAATTAAACACATTTTAATTTTTGTACTTCTTAAAAAAGCATACATTATTAAAATAATAGGTTCTTGTTCTTCCAACTATTTTAAGTATAAAAATGGAATATTTTCGTTAAAATATATGATAATATAATTACACTAGTTAGGTATCTTTTTAAATTTAATATAAGTTGTCAAAAAAAAAATTTTGATTTAATTTTTCAGTTTTAGTTATTTTATAATTTAATTATGTATATGTGTATATATTAAACGGCAGCAAAAAATTAACGAAAATTAATTTTTGAGATTAAATAAATTACATGGATACAAAAAAAATGTATAGAAATACATGCCAATATTTTACCATTAATTCTACTATACCAGACCTGAGATAATACTAATATCTATCATCATATATAAAAACTAAAAACTGAAAATTTACTATATAATCATATAATTAAGTTAAATAAAGTATTAAGTTTTTATTTTTTATTTTTTACTATAAAGCAAATAATAATTTTATGAAATACAATCTTTGATTATCTATAAAATGAAATATTGAATGCTAAATTTAAAAATAATTTACTTTAATAAACATTTATTACCACGTACTATTGATGTTATAATATACTGTGTGTAATAAATTTTATATATGTTTATGTAATCGCTAAATAAAATATTTTCTATTAAGCGTAAATAGTACATTTTGTTTACATAGTACTAATAATTACACACCTTTATGTGTCTTCATATGAGTACGGAGATTTCCCACGGTGCTGTACGTTCTTTTGCACCCAGTGAATTCGCAATAATGTCTTTTGGTATCCGATTGATCCGGTGGAGTGTCATTACTGAATGAACTTTGAGATATATCGTCCTGAAATCCTTCTTGTAATGTAATATCATTTTGTGGTTTGACGTCATATTGCACATAACTATTTGTTTGATAATTGTAATGGATAAAACTGTAAAACAAAAATTATTATAACTACTTACGTATATATAATTGTAAGTTATAAAAGTTAAAACTAACTAGTTATTGGTTAATAACTACGCATTATAGTATGTCATAACAACAATGTTTAATGTATTTACCTAATATAATACATGTATATTATACTGGTTTATTCATATATATCTCATTGTATAAATATTAGTAAACCCTCTGAGGACACCCTGTACCTACTTCTTATAATTTACATAAATTTAACACTATTATTTGAATAAAAGCCACAAAATGATCTGTTCAGTGTAATTAACAACAGAAAACTAGACAAGTAAAGTTTACTATGTACTTATATAAGTTATATGTATTATTGTACGTACTACAATATACAAAGTGCACATTTTAATGATGTGATGTTTTAAAACATAACATTAAAATATTAATGGCATAATATATATGCAGAAAGATGTTATATTTAATTAACGTTGCATACATTGACAAATTTTGAACTATTTCCAAAATTTTATTTTTTGCATTAACAGTAAGTTATAAACTTAATATAAATAAAAAAATATTATATTTAAAATAATATTCAGAAAATTAATTTTAAATAATATCCAGTTAGCTACATAAAATATAATTTTTATTTTTATTTTTTAAATGAGGTTTGTAAGAATATAATATATTTCTATATGCTTTTCTTATTGGTTGAACTAGAATACTAGATGCTCGTATCTTATCTAATAATGTTATTAATTTCAACAAACAAAATAATTTAATATTAGTTATGAATGTACTCAAATACTTCATCAATCAATTGTTTAATGCTTTAATTTAGGAAACAAAAATAATAATTTATGAAAATTAGTGATAAAGCTATACCAGCATGATTAAAAAAAATATTATTTTAACTTTGATTAATAATTCTATTAATCAACATAACCTAATGTAATAAATCTATTTACTAAGCTATTTAATAATAATTTATGTATGTGTAAAGTGTAGACAAAATGGATAAATTTTACCATTAAATTAAACTATAAAATTTAAGCCAATCAGGATATTCATAAAAACAATTTCTACTAAAAATTACCAACAGAATTTATTTTGTAATTCAGATAACTAAATCATAAAAAGTTGTAATTATCACGTTCTTACAAAAAAAAAATGTGCTTAAGTTTGACGTTTAATAACTTTTGAAATTCTTCTTATAAATTATTTAGACTTAAATCGTATATACTGTATAATAATGTATTGTGTTAGACTAAAATTCATGAATCATTAATAACATATATAAATTATAACACCACAGTAATTTAAAATTAATAGTTTCTCATTTTTTATGCATTCTACAAGTATATTCTTACATTATTTATTTTGTTGTACGCTAAAAAATATGTAAATTTACACGCCAAAGAAAAAATTACACAAAAGTTGTGTTATTCAAAAAAGTGTATACAAAAATATACATTTAATTATATACCTAGCTGTCTAAGATGAATTTTATGCGTTTAATCGACAATTATATTAAATAAATAAAACATACATAACTAAATTATTCTTTTGTAATAATATTATGTTTGTCATTATTACTACTTACATCAACTTTTTTCCTGTATATTTAATATTTATATGCTTATATAATTTTCATAAAACCAAATTTTCAAACTTAAGTTATTTTCATATAATTTTAACCGTAATTCATTTAATATTTATATGATACAATTTATAATATCACACAGTTTTATGAAAATATCAAGAGAATCATACATTTAACAAAATATGTTGGCTAGGTCACTGGTTTTGATGACCTACGACTGACAGTAATGCAAGTTGCATTTCTATATTCTTTTTTAAAGCGCAGTGTTATAAAAACAAACATAGCTAAAGTAACTAATTTTATTTTTACATAATCTAAAATAGTCCATTAAAAAATAAAACTCATGTTAATAAAAAAAAATTACAAATATACTAAAAAAACTCAAACGATATTGAAAAATACTACTAATACATGAAATAACAATACGAAATAACAATTTTTCTTTATTTTTTGTAGCACACAGACGGCAAAACTATAAGCTACGTGCGTAATTATGAATTATCTTGCAGATTTCCAATATAGTTAGTTTTTAATTTATGATATATCATATTCACATCAATTAAACCATTGATGTATTGACATAATAATGAAACTTTATCCTTTTAAATATGTTATATAACTATATACAATGGCCATTTGCTATTGAAGCCAAATTTAAAAAAATAAAAATTTATAATTTGAAACAAATGTACCTATATAGATATCAACTACACCTAATACCTTTACACAGTCATTGACTATTGTGAGTATTATTTTTTATAACACCTTAAGCTAAATTTTATTTTAATAGTAGACAATCTTTAAATCAAAATGGCATTAATTATTAATGCATCAACACCCACATATTTAAATTTGCTATTTTCCTCTGTAAAATATTACAATGACTCACGAAATCGCAATATATTATTATTCTAATAATATAAAGTAATCATTGTTACATTTATGTTCAGTTATTTTTGCACATTTTACACATCTTTGTCCATTTAAGCGTTTATGAATAAATAAGTATTTCCTATACGAAGCACATTTTTAGTTAACTAAAAAACATATCTAAGCCAAATGTTTTTACCTATATGATGGCATGCATAACGATGATCAGATCTTAATCGTACTGATGGATAAATGATAAAAACTAATATCCATTATTAAATCGTATAGTAAATATAATCTTTTAACGCATAGAACTGATGTAACATATCCTGTCAAAATATATACAAAAGCATAATTTTTATTTATTCGTACCAAAATAAAAAAAAATAAATGATTAATTATCTGTCGTGTGCGTAGTACGAAAGATAATATGATATACTTTTATTTTATTGGAATGAGATTTTAAATATTATGTTGCGATTTTATTAAGTATTTTTGGGTGGGGGCATAAAATCGAAAAAAAATAGAAACACATCGTGGCATCATATATACATGTGTTCAAATGACTAGCTTGCGCGGCGGTTGGCATACGGCGTGGGACGATCCGAAAGTCGTGAATTTAATATATCGGCAACAACGTCAGAATAATACACGGCAAAAATGTCGTGACTGACTAAACAACTTGTCCCTGACTGTTTTTACATGATAATAATATTATGGTTAATAAAGTATACGTCGTCGTCATCGTCGTCAAGGTGTATGTATACCTACAACTGTATAATTGTAAACGGATACCTACGTTGTATGATACCTACCTACCTATCTGTTTTCTTTCGACTTTCGAAACCGAATTAGTGTTTAAAATCGTCCCCCGTGAGCACTTATTTTAAAATTATTACTATATAACAATACGACGTGTATTGACTTTTATTAAGTCTCTAACAACGAACATAGTAGATATGAGTATGTATACCTATTACCCACTAAAGCTATACAATAGTATAGCTATCGAAAAACTCGTCGAAACGTAAGCTCTTCGAAACCCTCCCCACAAAACGTGTTCGTCCTTGCGGATCACCATTGGTCTTCGGTGTTCCGTAGGACTCTGCACACCAAACACTTGAAAAGCGTTGCACACTTCTTATGACATACTATTTAATATGATGGGTACGTGTTATACAACATGAATAAACGCACAGACCTGTACTCGGTGTTACAGAAGAACGCGGCGCTGCTGCGATCCTCGCCGTCTTCTTCTTCCGTCATCCTCGGCGGTTGCTGCTGCTGCTGCGGCGGCGGCGGCGGAGGCAGCGGAGGAACAACGACGGGACTCGGCGGCCGCTGCTGCTGTTGTTGCTGCTGCAGTTCCGGACCGTTGTTGTAAACGAGCGCGACCACTTGTTCCATCGCGACCACAACGCATAATAACCGGCGGAATCTGCGATCGCCGTGCTTCCGTCACGCGCGGCGATATGATTATATCAGGTCGAAGCAACGCCGCGGTGGACGCGATCGTTTCACTAATCACGCTCGGCGGCGTCGAGAGCTGTTGCGGTGATACACAACGCACGAGCGAAACGCGTCTCGGAAACGTGACACCGCCGCAATGGCTCGGCCACGGCGGCGGCGGCGGCGTCGAGCAGTCATCCGCCGGCGGCCGGTCGGTGGTGGGAAAAAGACGTGGGCGCGGATGCGGAGGAGGCGAAAATACGTAAATGACGTGGCGACGACGACCTTGAGCCGCGCGACGACGGTGGCCGACTGTAAAACGGCGGTGGCCGCCGCGGATGGCAGATGGTCAGCGCGCGCCAAAAAAATAAAATCAAAGCCGACGACGAAAAGACCCTTTTCGCGCGCCGCGCTGCACGACGACGGCCGCGCGATGGGGTCACCCGCTCCACCGGCGTTCGTGTCGGCGGCCGCCGCGATCCTCGATCTCGGCACGGCGCGGCGGCGACGACGGCGGCGACGGTGACGCGCGCGCGCCGAGCTCTACATTTTCGATTATGTTATGGTATTATTATACATCATCGTACGTTTAAAAATAATATGTACGCGCCTCGACAGTTTTTTTGGCAACCGCGATGCGCAATGTTTACCAGACAATAAACAATATGGGTTTTTTTTTTTTACTATTTACACGCTTCACACGCCCACCCTGCACCACGCGCGTGTATGCTTCAATATATTGTTTTTTTACGATGTAGCCAATTCGAATAATAAGCTTATAGTCGGGATCAAACTCGTGTATACGGTTTAATATAAAAATTGGTATTGTAAAAAGAATTTTAAAAATAAAAATATCTGCATACAATTTTACACAGTAGGTATACAAATGAAATGTTTAAGTGCAGAATCCATATAGTAACACTCGTGTGGCTTTATGAAAGGACAATAATTTTATTATGAAGGCGTCACCTAGTTTACCTAAAATAAATAAAAACTCCAAACGTACACATACATATTAGAAAAAAAACACACCAAAGTACACACCTAATACCTACGTCACATGTGTGTACATACGTAATTTACATTTCAAAACGTGTTTTCTAGAAAATCTAAATTCGCATTAACTGTGTATTATAATACATTAATATCTTATAGGAGGTACCTTATATATTATAATATATATGCCAATAATATATTATGGAATAATATGCAACTCAATAGCACTATAACATTTTATACTACCTAAACGATACTTATCTTAATTTGTATTTAAGAATTTTAGTAACTAACAATTCAAATATCTAATATTCTAATATAGAAATATTCACAAAAAAAAAAAAAAAAACACACGTGAATTCTCAAAGTGTTAGTGAGTCATTTATAGGCGTATTTGATATTTATGCCAAGTTTTTAACCAACTAAAACAACACTATTTATTTAGGTGAAGTCAATATCTACCATTTTTTGAGAGAATTATTGTGAGTTTATCACATAATATTTTGTCCGTTCTGTGCTTTTACCTATTTTTTAACAATGAAAATGTTTATATATATATAATATGTACATTATTGCACTTATTTATATACACATTTGTAATTTATAATAATCTAATAGTCAAATTTTCACAAAGATGGCGGTAAACGACAAATTCATTCATTTTATAAATAAAAAACATACACTAAAGCTGGTACTAAAGTTAATTGGAGCAGGATGTTTGCGAACTGAGAATTTTTAACTCTAATATTAAAAAAGGGGAATAGAAGGTAACAACTGTAGTGTTATACAGTAGGTGACATTGGTGTCAATAGTGTGCCTCGTTATAGTTGAGTACTATCATTACCTATAACCTGTTAAATTTGAATTTATTGATAAATTAATACTTACGAAAAATGATGATTGCATTACTCTTATTAATATTTAAAAAATATTTTTAAATGTAGGTTATTCAATAATGTATTTTAATTTTTGAAATGCCGTCTCAACCACATATATACTCTTCATCTTACTATGAACAGATATATGATAAATTTTATATCGTATTGTTATTTATGAATATTAATTATACATATTTAATAATAATATCAATTAATAAGTATAATATTATATTATACTTACTGTACTAAGCCTCCTATATGTATGGTGGATATTATTATCAATAAAAATAAAATATCTTCAGTGAATTCAATTATGTGACTTTAAACCTATCTATAAAATTATTAACTTAACGGAAATTCAATATTAATTGCATTTTAAATCGAGAAAATTAGTTATAATTTCAACAAAATATATTAATAACAGAATTTTAGTCGTCGCGCAAGGTCTAACGTCTCTCCGAGTTCACTATTACGCCATACACGCACGTCAATTAAATCAACAACATCCGTATGTCCCCCGGAAACGGGGCTGGGTCCTCTGGGACCCAAACTTCTTCCAGAACCTCAAAAAGAAGGAGGCTCCCAAGTAACTTTTCTACTTGTTACTTTTCTACTTGTGTTACAGCCAAAAATCGCTATTCTCCTCTACTTAACGCAAACGTCAACTCTGACATGGACTTAACCACCTCCAGCGAAGGTGAGGATAATCAACAAGACGAGATTAATCAAAAAATTCTGCCGATATACGTATATAATATAACCGACTTTGATAACTTTTATAAATCATTATCCGCAATAACTACCGACGAGTTCACAATTAACCACACCAAAAACGCACTAAAATTAAATGTAACATCGATCGACGATTACAGATCCATCACTAAAAAAATTCGATGACACAGAAATACAATACCATACTTATCAATTTCCTATGGACAAACAATTATCTTTAATTATTAGAAATCTTCCAGTCTCGATTTCAGAAAAGTCAATTTTTGAAGCTCTATCAGACCTTGACTTTAAGGTAACATCCGTAACCCGTTTACAAAACCGTTTTAAGTGTTCTATACCCATTGTCACAATTCTGCTGACAAATGCTTCCAAAAAAATATATGCCTTAAATCGACTACTACATTGCGTTGTATCAGTTGAACCTAGAAAACCTACCAAAGACATTCCACAATGTACAAATTGACAGGGATTTACACTTAAGCTAAGCCTGTACTTTTCATTATTCCATATATGGTATACTACGTACATAATTAACTGTTAATAATCTTATTATCTATTTTTCTTAATTTTTTTTTTTATCGTTATCCTATTATAAATGCCAAAAGTAAAAATTGTATATATTATCTCTAGATATAGATAGCCTTCTCTTGGCTAGGAATGACTTAAATTAAAATAATAAAAAAAAAAAAAAAAAAAAAATAACAGAATTTATATTTCGACCTATTTATCGTATACGACTTAATTAAACACCAATTTAGTTCAGTGCAATATGTGAGTTTATTATAGACATACATTTTTTATTTTAGGTTCTCGGTCCATTTTGCCGTCATTTTAATCTCTCATCAGTCCTTTTCTACTGATGCTACTCTCTAGAACAATGATGCCCATCCCGCAGCTCGCGGGTCACATGTGGCCTGTTACAAAATGTTTAAATAATATTTTAATAAAATTTTAAATGTGACCTTAATTAGTAATCTTTTCAATAACCAAATATAAGATAAGAAAACAATTCCAATATGTACCTATTTGTATATTGGGGTCGCTGTAAATTGCGTCCCGTTTCAAATTTTTTATGTAAATTGCGGCCCGGGTATATTTTATACATACGTAAATTGCGATCCCGTTATATTTTAATATATTTGCCTACTTAAATATTTATCATTGTTATGTAAATTACATTAAGAATTGTTATTAAATTTAAAAAAAATACAAATACTGTAAATACTGTAGACAGTGTAGACCAATGTAAAAACTCGTGCAAAATATTTCGATCAAATGCACACTGGCGGCTAGTAATATTATATAAGTATCAAGTGATATCCTTATCAATCAATATTAAAGATAATTTAACCTAACCTAACCAACCGACCAGAAATCGGAATATCCCGAGCCGCAATTTACACAGTATATAACTATGACCTTTTTTGCGGGACGCAATTTACCAACTGTATTATTATACAATAATATTTTAATTCTTCACTGTATTATATTTTTTCAAAGTTGACGATAATAAATGTAAAAAAGTTCGGTGGAGTCGATAGTCGGCGGAATCAATATATACAAATATCAGGCGGAATCGATAGCCGGCGGAATCAATAAAACCCCAACCATTCTTGTTCACATCTATTAAATTTGCGGCTTATTATACTGAACTACCTTGCACTATTAATTAAATGATAATTTTTCTAAAATGATTTCTTCACTATCTTACATTCTAAACATAAATCTAATACTCTACAATTATTTCCTGTTTCCATTATCATAATATAAACAGGCTCCAAATGACCATTTGATGATTTCTCGATAAGTAGCTCTAATACTTCTTTAATTTAATAAATATTGATAAAAATTAATTAAATTTCTTAGAATATAATATAAAATAAAATGTACTCACATGTAGGAACAGTTGAACGCACAGTGAGTCAAATTCAAAATGGGCTTGATGTAAGCCCTATAATTTCTAAAGACATTACATCTTCGTATGACCATTGTACGTTTACTGTTTACGTATTATATCCATTCAATGAAACCTTTTGAAAAATAGATACCGTCAAACTATAAATCTTACGTTATTGACAAACCTCAGGTACTTGAAGAATTGTTCAATTTTAATAATAAAGAAAATATTTATTTGAACGATAATAATATTATTTTATTAAATATTTTTCACGATATTAAGCTAGATAGAAATTCTATTTAATATAAAATGCACGGAATCAAAGTCAAAACCTAAATATTTTAATGTAGTTAACGCAATTATTATCCAATTAATTTGCCTGTTTTATCTTATTTGTTCAAACTCTATCACTTCAATTTTCCTAAGAGCATACAATATTTGCATAATCACATAATATTGGATACGCCGACAGATTTATTTTCGAAGCTCAATAATTCATATAAAAGCATCTATATCTATGAAAATGAAATAATAACTGATTTTAGTGAATCTTTTCATATTATTCAAAATTTTTTTTCTAAATTTGTGTTTAATCTTACTATGGCCTCATCTTCCGGAATTCAGCGATTATAATCACAATCACGCAACAGCATAACCATTACTCTAAATTCTATATTAATTTATCGCGAAAGTGTTCTCATGCGAAAAGTCAAGTCTCTTATTCTTTCATCAGGTGCTTGTCTTAACTGGATGTAGACTTACGGGAGAATCTTTATTATTTTCAGTTGACTCATCTATCCTATTGTATAAATTAAAATATATACAGGAATCAATATAAT